CATATGGTTCAGAACGGATTAACCTTATTTACACTGAACCTTATGGGAAAATTTGATTCAGGTCACGACCAAAATTGGTTGGCGACCAAATTTGTAGAGGTCTGCACCCAGGGCAGATCACTTCCACTGCCCCAGTGGTATGAAACCTAAGACAGCTTTTCAGTAACTGAAACTAAAATTTAACTTTGGCTATTGAGTGGTAATTTTCTATATGGTTCTAATTTCCTTTTCTTCTTTATGAATTCTCATAGATAAATCTGTGCTAGGTGTTACCCAACAAATATTTCTATATTAGTATCTCCCCCACCATTCAAAAATATCCATGTTGCATATCATATGCAGTTCTGGTTTAACGTATGCAATGTTTAAGTAACCAGAGTCCTGACATACTCACTACGACAGGTTGATAAAAATAACTTGATAAAATGAATGTAAAATCTTCTCTGAGAACAATACTTTTTCCAAAACACAATTATAGCAAGCTGTAAGACTGAAATAATTCGTCTGAATAACAAATTGATACTCAGAATTGAATCTAGCAGTGATATGTTTGAATGAAGGTTTCAGATGCATCGTATAGGTTTCTCCACATAACAAACACAAGGTTAAGGTAAATACATGGGATTTTTAACTACAATATAATTAAAATACAGATTACGAAAAAAAAAAAAAGCTGTTACTTACCAAATTCTTTAGGAACCGCAATGGAGTAAATGCAGTTATGTCCTATGCTATAGTTTTTAGGGTAGTTTGGAGATAAAACGGTGCCTTCAGAACCTGTGGAACGTCTTCCACAAGGTGCTACAAAGTAAAGGACAATTTATTTTATAATATGGTAGAAAAAGTGGAGTAAAAAAATAAGCAAAATAAATATTATCTGCCTTCAAAAAGAAATAAATGCTTTGAATCACAGCGTTTCATGTAGTTTTTCTCACTTTCTGAATACACAAACAAACCCTTTTAACTATTGCAAAGCTATCGATAGGCTTGCTAGCCAGAACAAGGGAATGATCGTAGAATGCACTATTGACCTGTAAGTGTAACCACACAGAATGCTTTTTTAAAGAGTGCTCTCTTCCATTCATTCCTTTCCTCACACAGGGAGGTTTATACCAGAGGCCCAGTATCTATCTGAAGCAGAACTTTCCAAAAGTCCAGTAAATACTACTATGGTTGAACAAAGCAAGCAGGAGGGCATTTTGCTAAGCAGACATCTGAAGTTGCTGCACAAAAGGATGAGATGTCTCAGAGCCTTGGTGTGGCCTCCCCATGTTATCTCTGCTGTATGTTCCACGGCGCAGTTTACCTTATGAAAAGTTCTCTCTGAAAAATATGTCATTCAAAGGAATAAGAGAGGAGGGCTAGGCAGATAACAGAATCTGAGTCATGCCATCATGCCACAAATGCTGTCCCTTTTGTATGTGTATCACATGGGAAGGAAGGGAGGGAGGGAGGGAGAAAGGAAATAAATCTCGTTCTTTCAGCTTGCACTTGAGCTGCATATACTGTATTCTAAATTTGTTCCCCTGATTTTAAAGGTTTCACATGGCTTTCTTGTGCATTTCACTGTTGCAATTACATTTTTGTTTCATATTGGTGCCAAATCTTTATTTGGTCATGGACTGGTATAAAATAACAGCAAGAATTACAACATTTCAATAATAACGGTGAAACCTATGAGTTATAAAAATTACTTAACAGCTATCATTACCAACACAATACCATAACATTAAAGAAAAATATCTTTATATAAACGTTCTTAATCTTAAAACTATAAGTACTGGAAATATTGATGCTGATAATTGCAATTTGGTACTCTTAAAAAAAAAAAAACAGAAATAAATATTATCTGATGAATTGCCCAGAAATTCTGATGTAGTAAATATAAAAGATTCATTCTTGTTTATAGTAGTGAGAAACTGCCCAGAGTTGCTGGGAGTTGGGTAGCATATGAATTCAATTTATTAATATTACTACAATACTCTCCTAAGCCAATCTTCAGTGGAGTGTCTAGGTAATAAAAGAGTCCCCAACATACACCAATATTATTTGGCGTATTATGGTTGTTGCACAGTGAGCCAGATGTGCAACTGGATTTGGCATTTTGATCCACCTATCGAGTCCTACCCAAGGACCTGGGATAGGCAGATGTTGTTTGATGGTGTTAAAGGTATCGTCGCAGAATGGAAGCTGTTCCAAGTAAAGCTGCTTTTTGCAACTGACTGATGGTGTTTTTTTCAATGCCGATGGTCTTCAGGTGGTACTCCAGATGTTTTGGGATTGCATCTAAGACACCTAGTACTATTGGTACTACCTTTGTTTTCTTTTGCCATAGTTGTTCTATTTCTATTTGCAGGTCTTTGTATTTTGTGATTTTCTCCAGTTCTTTCTCTTCTATTCTGCTCTTTCCAAGTATTGCAATGTCTGCTTTTCAGACTTTTTTTTTTTTTATCAACAGTTGGTAAGTCTGGGGTGTTGTGTTGTAGGTGCTTCTCTGTTTGAATTCTAAAGTCCCAAAGCATTTTAGCTTCTTATTTTCTATTACTTTGTCTGTTTTGTGGTTCCACCAGTTCTCGGTTGCAGGCAAATGGTATTTCTTGCAGATATTCCAGTGCACCATTGTTGCTACTTTGTCATGCTCTTGTTTGTAGTCAGTCTGTGTGATCTTCTTGCAGCAGCTAACCAGGTGGTCCACTGTTTCTTCAGCTTCCTTGCAAAGGCAACATTTGCTGTCTGATGCTGTCTTCTCAATTCTGGTTTTATATGCATTTGTTTATCAGGCTGGGTCTTGTGCAGCCAGAACTAGACTCTCTGTCTCTTTCTTCAACTTTCCTGCTCTTAGCCATTGCCAGGTCTTGTTGTTATCTGCTTTGCCTGCTAGTTGTTTTGCGTACGTGGCCATGTAATACTTTGCCTTGCCATGTCTCTTTTCTATTCTTCATTTGGACTTTCTTGTAGGCCTGGTTGGTCTCTTCAGTATTTAGTAATCCTTCATGTTGTACTAGTTTGTTGTTGTCATTATTATTATTATTATGTGCTTTCAAGTCAGTCTTGACTCCTGGCAACTACCTGGACAAGTCCCTGCAATTTTCTTGGCAATGTTTCAAAAGTGGTCTGCCCTTGCCTTCTTCCTAAGACTGAAAGAGTGACTGGGTGAAAAAGTCACCCAGCTGGCTTTCATGGCTAAGGTGGGACTAGAACTCATGGTCTCCTAGTTTCTAGGTTTAACCACTACACCAACTTGGCTCATTACTTGAACGAAGAAAAATTTTTTCTGTATTCACTAAAAGTTTATTTAATAATTCAGATAAGAATAGAAACAGTCATACAACATCTTTACCCAGAATAAAGAAAGATGGGGTTAGGCAAAACCAAACCAAACCAAACCAAACAAACAAAAAAAAAAAAAAAAAAAGCAAATAATACACAAGTTTTATGGTACTGTGTTCAGTCACTTCAAAACAACATCCATGGAAAATAATAGAATACAGTTTGATACAAACTACTTGGATTGAAGGCATAAAAAATGTAATTAGTATTTTAATTATTCAAAACTTCGATCATAGATCCATTATGTTGTTTATATCTTTTTTTAAAATACAAAATTAATGTTAAAATATGAAGGGGATCTATTACCTGATTTTCTCTAACAATTGAATGACTGAGAAACTTGGGAAAGTTCTCCACAGTTTAAAGCATTTTTGATAACTGCTGGAATATTCACAACTCATATGATCATTACCTGTGCTCTAGGTAAGAACAAGGGGTAGGATCATGTTGCTATCACTGGAAGCAGATTCAACTATCAGAATGAGAGGGCAATTATTTTACCCCTTCAACTCCACAGCTAGCCAGTAACTGCTCTGAAGGACTGTCTACCTCTCTGGAGCAAATTTTGGGGGGCTTATGGAGAGATAGGATGGAGAGGTAGAGAGGGAGGATGAGGATGAGGAGCAGGAAGTGGCATTACATAATCAAAGGTCTGCTGAATGTCAATGAATTCCATACCATGAAGTTGAATGAATGTCTCTATTTACTCAAATTGTTTCAAGAGATTTTATTTCTATCTAATCTTATGAAGGGCATATATCTAATATACGCGATATTGCAGCTCATTATTGTTTAAAAGATATAGTGCTACAAAAATAGAAATTAATGGATTTGAAATTCAGATTGTGGAATACACAAGGCTAAATATTGATTCATATTCTTCTAATATCCAATACTAAATACATACTGTGTTGAATAAAAAGTTCTAGCTCAGAATTTAGATACATACAAGGTCGTTTACATAAAATGTAAAATGAGGAAGAGACTGCGAAAGAAAGAATTTTCACAAAGGCATGCATTTTCAAATGAAGTAAATTTTATATGCAAATTCTGTTATATTTTTCAACAAAACCTAGAAGTGGTACTTAATGTCAAATTACATATGGAATTTGCAATAAAGCTGTACAATAATAAAGCTTTAATTACATTATCTAGTGGCTCAGTCTTATATGAAAGTATCAATTTCAAATAAAATTGAGCTCAGGAATATTTTAGCATAATGCTTATTTTATTTCTAACCACAGCAGAGAAGTTTAGCCAGTCTTAATAAATCACAGCATGGATGGGACTCTATTTTGTATGACCCAAAGGTGCAAATCTATGCAAAGTGCTGATCATCCAGTACCGTTATTCAGATAGTCTTTAAAATGCCTTGGGATGACTTGCCTTTTAGTTTTTAAATATATTAAATAAGCATATTTGCACATTTGCTAATTCAATATTCTATATTCCATTATGTTAGGCATGCAGAACACCTTTCATCCCACACTGAAGGATTATTTGCTTCCTGTAAATCTGGGTGATTTTTTTGTTCCTCTCTTGTGAGCAAAGAGTTTAAACTGAACTAAAGGAATATTTTACTCTATGCTGTTCCAATGCAACAAGGAAAGAAATCATTCATCCCATTCCACCAGTTCTCTCTTAACTCATCCATCCCTTCCCGTAAACCCTAAAGAAAGCGGGAGGAAAAGGGCTTGGTTGAATTCATTTTCACAAGTACATTCCCTGATACGTGCATCAGCTATCCATTTTTGTACTCTTTGGATAACGTTGTATACAAAATGTTTCTACTTTTGTGCAAACACTAAGCACCGTCTACATAAACGGTTTGCATGACAGAGAAACCATAAAGAAGGAAAGGAGTAGACGGAATCCATTTTCGTAGGCACATTTCCCTAATTCATATCTCAATATATACATTTCTGACTGCTGTTGTGGTTGTTATTTGGGAAAGGATAAACCATGAAGGTAAATTAACACAGTCTGTGTTGCATATTGATTATGCACAAAGAGAAGTCAACAAATTTTATCAGCATTCCTAAAAACAAGCTGGGCTATTTCTTGGCATGAAAAACAAAACAAAATAAAACTAGATCAAAAAACTTTTGATTTGACTTGGATTGGCAATTATTGTAACTTCCAGTAGTATCCACTTAATATATATATTTTACAATAAGAACGGATGGTTTGCTTTTGCATGATGGGTTGTTATTTTTGTATATTCTTTACAATGTTTGCTGCCTAATAACACTGTTTATAACCATATTACTGGCAACAGCAAGCACTTTTCAGAGATATTCCTTATCAGTCTGATGTGGGATACTTCGTGTTTTCTCCATATTTGTAAGAATAAATACCTATCAGCCACTTCTGAGTGGTAGTCTATCACAGATAATTCTTCTCCCTTCCCAAAAATAAATAACATATCATAGACTTAATTTTTTTAAAAAGGAAGAAAAATGTATGAAATTTTTGCCTTTGGACTCAGTGAGAATTGCAAAATGATTTAAATTCTTCTTAGCATGAAATGGGGTTTTCCACTGCACTGAGCAATAAAATACTAACTTAGGAACAATAAATAATAGTTTCCTGAAAGGTAAAACTTACATAATACGATTGAAAGTTGACACTGACAAAAAAATTAAACATTATTTTTCGTCGTATGTAAAATATACAATCTGCAAACCTTAATTACTTTCTGCTTTTCACAGCTATCATGAAATGTCAAATGCTTCAGCGTATTTGCTTGGTTAATCTTTGCATTCATTCATATTAGTATGAGATTGTGGACTTCCTTCATGTCACGCACTTATGAAAAAGGCTTCAAGGACATTTAAAATAAGGATATTAGCTACAGGCAAAAATATATTTAATACATAATACACTGAAGAAATGTTAAAGTACATATGTTTCCTTCTGTGTTTCCTTAGTTTAATTTAGTGGGGAAATACACTTTCTCAAAACTTTTTGATAGGATATTGAACTGATGAAGAGAGTGTTTGGTTTACTGTACAATTGTTGGGCTGTGAGGATTCAAAGAACGTAAGAAAAATGCATATCTTATCATCACTGATTCCTATCTAGACCCTATAAGATGATTATTTGGATTCTTTTGATTTGATTCTCTTGGATTCTGCTGATTTAATCAGGGGCATTCTGCCACGTGAAAACCTATTCTTCATACTCAGAAGTGAAATGTCAGGTATTTACATAAAAATACAAGTTCAATGGCACCGGAATGTCACAGCACAGAAGTCACAGACTTACATATCTGCTCAGGAACTGGCAGCAAAAACATTGTGAAACCCTTGTGAAATGTACACAAATGCCAGCATCTCGTTTAATCCTATCAAAATGCTACAAGAATGGTTGATCGCTCTTGAAGTTTTAGCAATTTGGTGAGTGGAAGTACCTGTCTTGTTCAAGAGGGAGAGGTAAAAACTAAAGAGTGCAATCGCACACAGCAAGACTAGGGAAATATGAGATATTTCATGAAATGGGGATATAGCAAGTATAGTCAAAGTCCAGACCAAGATAGCAGAGAAAATATTAAGTGTATTATAATTCTTGAAGACGAGGCATAGTATATAATGAACAGTCAAGCCAAGGTTCAGAGGTCCTAATAAGTGAATTGAGTTAGTCTTCAGCATACAAGGCAAGGCTGCAATGGATAGTTCCAGCACTAGCTTTTCCAAAAAGAGCTTTCTATATTAGAGTTTTCAAGTCCCTATCCCACCTCATCTGGTATCCATAAGTGTGGCTTTCATTATTCTCTGTGTACTCTTGCAATATCCCTTGATATTTAACTTTGAATCCTGACAATTTCCATGGGCTTAGGCCTTCTGCCTGAGAAACTGGTCTCGACATTCAGGCAGGCTTGTTGGGGTAGTTCTTCTTCAATCTCTGTGCTGGAGCATGGCTTCACAGATTCAATGGATTTCAAAGATAGCACTGGCTCATCCTCAGTTTCCAAGGAAAAGCCATCAGGAAGGGTCCTAGTACCCAGGTCAACACTTGTTCCATGTTGCCAGAGCTAGAAATAGCTGATGTCCCCTGTGACAAATTGTCTGTTAGTTTGCTGATGAGCCTTTTGTCTTTATTGAGTAGTAATATTTTTGCTCTATAAGCAAGCAATACAATCACAACATAGTACAAACCACCATCAGCACCGTAATTTTAAAATAATAAATTAAAAACATTATCTAATCCCAACACTATCATAATTTAAATTGGTAGGAAGCAATGCCATGAAAATAAAAATTCTAACTGAGGAAAATATATGTAGCTCAGGGATGAATATTACCTAGCTGGGTAATGAAACATTTGCAAGCAAACAACCAAGCTCAGAGAGCACCAAGGACTCCACAATAAAAAATCTTCCAGCTTCATAAAGAAAAATAAATGTTTTAAGGCCCTTTTAAAATATCAGATCATAACCTAAATATAGTTCAAAGGGAGTCGAGTCCAAAGAATATGAGTAACAGGAAAAAAAGGTAATTTTGCACAGAGAAAGGGAGCTTTAAACCTTTCAACCTAGCTGTTTGTTTCCCAAATGAAACACAGCAACTATTAAGATAAATGATTTTATACCGAGTTATCATAAACATATGCCCTTCCTTGACTACACCTCTCTAAAATATACATAAATTTATAAAAATGTTTGAATGGATGCCAACAGATGCTAGCCGTATTTGCACTTTGCCACTGATCAGTGTACCAGCTGACCCTATTTCAGAAAATCAAGCCATGTTAATTGAAAGAAAACTGTCTGCTAACAAATTTGTAACAAAAACAAAATATAAAATATATTTATTTTATTTTATTTTATTTTATTATTTTATTTATTTATTTATTTATTATTTTGAAAATAAAAATATATAAAAAGAATGAATGCTAATGAATTTTTGAGTTCTGGTG